GTTAAGGGGAACGGAAAGTGCCAAATTGTATACATATAAAGACTAAAACGCGCGCGAGGTCACATTGTGAAGTGTCTACCGAGCAGCGATTTCAAAATTATTTTTTTTGTTATTAATTTTGACATCTTATATTTATGGGGGCTAAAAGGTCCATTTTTCATTTTTTTTTTCAAAACTAATGCTTATTAGCGTTTATATTTTTTTCCTAAAAAATCTAACTAATGTACTAATAGCTATATCAAAAATCAGCCTTTTAACCCCCATAGAACCAATAGTAAACTTAATATAGACAAAAAAAATTAAATCCTCCAATAGATACCTCAGAAAATGACTTTTACGAAAGTAATTTTTTGTCAACTTTCGCCATACCTCGAAGAATAATAACTTTAAAAGTTCTATAACCAGAAAAACTTAATATGTTTTCACCTTAAAATTAGTCAGCATTTTTAAAACAGCTTTGTCAAAAATTGCCTACCCTTGGCCCCTTAATAATAGTCCTTACCGTTCCTCTTAACCAATCACCCTGTATATTATAACAGCTCTTAAGTGGCACTGTATCGAGTGCGGTAACAGACCAAATCTGAACGAGCTGTTGTTTTGGTGCCATGCTCTAATATGTGCACACGGTATTTTCCATATTGCTGAACGAATCCTACAAATCCGGTACAATCGTACGTAAAGCCTACCCTATTATTTCGTGATCAAATCCAATAAAAAACGTTCTTCAGCCTTACGATTTACGACTGATACAACCAGCTGTGGTAAAAATAAAACATTATTCGTCTACTTATCCTGTTTTGTAAACTGTAGCAATATTAAAACTTGGCACTGGAATAAAACCCCAAGTTTTACAGAGCGACGTAGGTATATTTTATTCGAGTAAAATGTATATATATATAAATGTGCATATATTACACAACCATGCAGTATATAATTAATAATAATAATAATATCTTATAATAAATATATGCTAATATTCGTACACATAATGGTTTTTTTTTAATTACCTACACTCTGTTAACATAATAATTAGTTTAGTACAAAATATGAGAAAACACGATAGACGCGAGTCGAGTAATTTCAAAATAAAAATCTGTTCTTGACATTATTTATTACTTAAAATGTTTTCTCTTCGTTAAAATAAACTCAGTTAAATGCTATAATCATAAAAACTACACATTTTATTCGAGTAATTAAGACAAAAACAAAAAATATATGTTATGAGAAATGTTTTCGCGAGTAACGAGATCCCATTCTCTGAATATAAACAAGGCATTCAACATTTTTATTCAACAATTACCGCGGTATTATTCTCTTATAGTATATGCATACTAATACGACCGACGGAAAGCCTACCAAAAAAAAAAAAAAATGTAAAATGGTAAGGATTTAATAGAAATATTATATTTTATTGTTTCCAAAGCGCAAAACAGATACATACATATTTTGTACATTTTATCCGTGTTATAAATATGATAATATGTACCGTGTGTGTAAAAAAATGACATTTAAAAAAATATATAATAATATCAACAATAATATTAATAAAACGAATACTCGGACATTTATATTTTTTTCATTCTTTAAATAATTAAAAAAACAAAAATAATTCCCTTTTCCAAATTAACGGTACACGTGTAATCGTATGGCATTAAGTAGGTATTGTTCGTTTTAGTTTTTGGGCACGTGGCTTTTTTTCATAGCTCACAATGGTCGTCAGTAGAAAATAATGTAATATAATAATGTATAAGCTAATAAAATCTCAAATCTGCTTTAGTGTATCAGCATCAATTATGATTAAAAGGTACACATCTCCCTCTTTGATTTAAATGTATTTTCTTTTATTCAAATTCAACTGAGCGTTAGGATAGCACTTGCATTACTCGTTAGCCATCACACCACACAACGTCTAGGTATCCGTGACATTTTTTTTTTAAATACCACTTACGATTAATAGAAATGATTCGATTTTTTTAAGTACTTATTCGGTGAGAGGCAACCGAAGGAATTAACGTAGACTTCTGTACTAAGCTTTTCTGGCGCTATACGCCTTACATAGTCACTAAGGTTAATGGATGATTTCAGTAAACACGGCCGGCCTTGCTCAAACACTTGTCTAACTTAAAAATAATTGTCTTGTGTATATTAAATAAAAAGTTAAAAATTGACATCGTATCAATCATTTTTTTTTTATTACCGACTTCAAGCTCTAAAGTCCAAACAAAACGTAGTATGCAAATGTCTATGTACATTATACATGGGCTGATGGACTACATGGAACGCCAATAATAATAATTATATTGCTGTACACTACACAATCGACATTCATAAGTAATATTTTTCCGGTACATTAGTAAAATTAACAACTCCGATTATTTATGTTCAACGTTAACGGAAACGTGATTTAATTTAGATTACTCTGTGTGGGACACATTATACTGATCCTTTGTATTGACATCAGCCCTATCATTATGTACCTTTGTCGACGGTACACACTTAGTATTTCTATGAACGAGCACCGCTAGCTGTTGCCTGTGGTAATAGACGTGGAAACTAATGATTATAAAACATGTCATACATGTGTTTACAAACTAGTCCCTATGATATAGTGACTAGTGTGGTATAATATAATAATATTATTAAAATCAATAGACACTATGACGCAGCGTAGACATTTGAATGTCGTCAATTTTAAATTATACAAACTCGATTGAAAATTCTAAAGTATGACATGTTTATTTTGTAAGACTTAATTACACCTAAAATGGCACTTATTCAATTGCCAATACTCTTATGTCGGGTCGCGTGAACCTTCATTAGAGGTTTAATCAGTAGACTTTTTAGTCGGTTTTTTCAAGATAATTTATAGAAGTCTATGGTTGGTATCAACTTTGTTGCGCAACCCAGAATTAAAATAATAAGAGTACAACGAACAACAAACGTGTTGTAAAATTATATTTGTTTTATCAATTTAACACACATTATAAACATTATACCTATCTTATAGCACCCGTACTTGTACCTAAGCGTTTATTTAAGTAATTGTATAATAAAACAAAAATTATTATAATCAATTCCTGCCACAGCGGCGGGTCGGACATGTTTTAAATATAAAGAATAATTTATTAGTAGCCTCAAGCAAACAATAAACGATACAGTTTATTTTGTTAACCGAAAATCAATATAGACCCCCTGTAGATGAAATTTTCAGTCAAACCTTTTAAGTATACAATTATTTTTGAATCGGCCACAGTTCAAGATTACGACGTATTCCATTTGTATTTTACGAATTATACGACACGCGTTACACACTGTACGGATTCGATGGCATGACACTGGTTGTTCAATGGAAAACAATTTTATTACATTTTATTGATAAAAATTAAAACGCAGTATATTTATATACACTTGTGCTCGTTTTTATAACACGCCGTCTTAAGCCATTGACAAACTTTTACTGGGGCTTACATAGTAGGTGTTCAAAAAGTTTGATCGTCCATGGAGACATACATACGCACACACAAGCAACAATTTTTCAAAAAGTTTCATCAAATATCTTGGGATCGTCCCTTTTTGACAGCCATCGTCCAATGGTATTTATCGGCTTTTTGTAACGAATCCGTAAACTTTAGGCACCTATAGTAAACTTCAGAATCAAACAAATGAGAAAAGTTACGGAATACTCCCGTAAAAAAACATTCTATAACATTAACAATAAAATAAAATTATCATGCATTAAATAAAAAAAAATCCCGAAATACACGTATAGTGACATTTTCATGCTCTTGAGACGGTATTTAAATATTTGGTATACGTTTTTGATGACAACATACCACAAACTTTCATAGTAATTATATAAAAAATACAATAGCTGTTTACAGCGCCGATTGTAATCGATTAACTAAACATGTTATTTATATAAATTGTAACACATGAATAAAATCCCTTCAGATTTTTTTAAATATATAAATACAAAGCTCTTTGCATTAAAGAAAATCCATTACCTGTTGGTAGTGGAACGTTTATTTATTTTTGTTTTCGTTTACATTGTAACAATTATTTTTTATTTTTTTATTTTAATTTCATCCTCTGTGTTTGGATAAAGTTTTGGTTAAAGACTGTTATCATTCATCATTGTAGTAAAACTTTGATGGTAGTCTTCACTGAAAAAGAAATAAATCTGAATGTTGCCGAACGGATTATAATTTATTTTTGTCTTCCTTTTTTTTTATAAACATAAATTTTCTTACATTATATCATAACGCGCAACTAAGTTTTATTAAAAAATAAGTTTTTGGTAGCTATATGTATTTCGATATAAAAATTAGTCCAAAAGGAAACGTTTGTGTGCTTATACCCCGCCATGACAAGACGCTTTATCGTGATATAATTGCAGACATTGTTTTAAGTATAATACTATATCAGATGCCCCTAAAAAATATATAACTTCTCTTAAACATCTTGATTTTACTGAATTATTATTATTTTTATTTATTTGTTACAACAATAAATTGAAACCTTTATGAATAGCAATGCCGACCAAGAAAGTGGCTGAAAAAAAAATGTTATAAATTTGTTTTTAATGATTATTCCGGTCTTATATTTGTGTACCTACTCAATTAGTATCATTGTATACAAACGGTAAGACCCATTTTAGAAAGAAACAAAACCTATTTAAACGTTTTTGGGACATTTTTTTAAAATCCAAAACAGCTTAACTCGATACTGCTGAAATTATAATAATAACAAATTGTACGTAAGTTATGACCGTCCTTTGGAGTATTGTTTTGTGATTATTTTTAAATGCATACTGAAGACTCAACAAACTTAAGGTATATATTATGCTATATCCTTGTATATCCTATACCTTCCGGAATACAATAATCCGGAACAGCTTACTACTCCGAATGCCTGGTCCACGTCTTCGTTCCAATGGAACGGCAATAATGCAGTTTAAAATATGTGAAATTAAGTTTTCCAAATTTTTTGGTTTTTTTCAGAAGACACCATGAACTTGTCATTGACCGGCGGAGGTGGCGGTGGCATCAGTGGTGTTAGCAAATCGGTTAACGTTTCCAGCTACAACAGCGACCACGACTCGGTCAGAGAACGGTACATGACCGACTACCTATTGATATTTTTTTTCTGCGTGGTCATACTGACAACTGTGGTGAGTAATCGCCGATATTAAACAAATATCAATTTCAAAAAATTGTCCAATCTTAGTTTTAAACTATGGAATAAATCGTTGAGAAAAACGCTGTTGTCAACACCTTGTGCGATTGTTACAGAACTTGGTAAAATATAAAATTCTACGTTATGCCCATAACGACCGTAGATAGACTATGAAACTGTTTAAAGAAATTAATTGATTGAGTTTAATCACATTATATGCACTATTTATTATGTTTGACGCGTGTCTACATACATTTGTGACATATGAGCTTCAGTGTGAATAAGTAGATTTTATTTAAAGCTGAGAAAAACAATCTTCTATTAAATATAGTAGGATTGTTGAGTATTTTATGTTACTAAAATTATTGCAATAAATTAGTAACAGAAAATATTTTACTACAAATACTTTAATAATACCTATTAGTAGCAATTATTAGGAAAAGAAACCTCGAATTTCAGTTATATAAGGTCCATTGAATGGTCGTTTGCACAACAATATTTGCATAATATAACATATAATTTATGTAATAATACAATTTTAATTAATAATTGTTTTGTTTTTTTAATAGAAACAAGTAAATCTACACGTGTAAGTCATTATTCCATGAGTTGATTAAAGTGTAAATTATAAAAAATATATTTATTACCTACTTGTTTAACTAGTACTTCAATCGATCATCGAAATACTCAATTCGCTTTTGAATGTGACGTTTGAGGTATAAATATACATATACAACCTATAAATATATACAATTTGATTAGGTATACATATTTTGTATGTATTTCATATTTTCTATTTTCTTCAATCTTGTAGGCTGGTTTACTACTATTTATTATGTGTATGTCAAATTTACCTGCAACGTATAATATATGCATGTACATAAATTATATGTTATGTTCTGTTAGTTGTAAACTTGTCATGTTTGTATATTAGTATTTCACTGAGCGGACACTCGTGTCAATTCTTCGAAATGTATACACATGCATTCTAAGCACGTTAAAGTTCGAAAATGTTTCATTTACTCCGTGTAATTTATGTTTCAAAAGCGTACCCAAAGAGTTGTCAGAGCGCGGCGGATGCAACTGGGATGTGTCCTCTTCTTTCTTTTCCACGTCACGTGCGCAAAAGGCACAAACAAAAAAACCAAAACTTAAGGAAACGCAATATCTACCGCAAAACAATATCATATTTGACAATTCTGCATCGTTTAGGGTTGTCTCTTCATTGTCCGCACTACCCAAAAACTAAAACTGAATATTGCACAAAAACGCTCAGTAGGTATAATCGTACCATTGCATTTATATGCGAGTTGCGATACAAGTTTTTCGTCCTAGCTACTCCAAAACAATTATTTGAAATATAGCTAGATTTGTAGTAGTTGTCAGTGGTAGGGAGAGCGCTGAAAACGAAGATAATTATGTATGAACTACAACTCGTCGGGCTAAGTCTATTGTCTAATTGAATCAACGGCCAAAGATCATTTTATTTTAGCTATACGTTTGTCTAATCTGTTTTCAAATCGTCGACCCGTTTAAAAATGTTTAGACGAAGCAAATATTTTCTGCGTGATGTCTACGTGTTAATATGCTACAAGCAAAATGTAAACAAGATAAAGTAAAACTTATTTAGTTTTAAAGGATCAACAACAGTTTATTAAAAAATAGTTATAGCTTATAAATTGGTTGAAGTTTGAATATGGTATGTTGTAATAGGGTGTTTGATAACTGTATAAAACTGTTTATAGTAAAGAACTAAAGTAAAAACTTTTCCTGAAAACGTTATTATATTCTTGATAAAAAAAACTTCTAGTAAATCACTTTGCAATCTGCTAACATTTAGTGAGTGCACAAAAAGAAAAAATAGTGAAGGAGAGTGCACAGGACAGTATTAGATAGCCCAACATTATTTGCAGATCGCCATACGAAACGACCCTATTTATATATTATACTTATTACTCCTAGCACCTTTCTTTTTTAAAATAAAAACAATGGCCTCTCAGCTCCCCATCGAAGCTAAAAAAATACACGCTCATTACTTACACACCGCTTAACAAGTGTGGTTAAGTTTTTTTTTAAATTGATTAATATCGGTAAATCTGTATTCCATATGATAAACAAATATGCTTTTATGTATTTTATTTCTTTTGGTAGTAACCCTGTCAGCAAAAATATAAAATATTTTCTCAATGTTATGAATGTGTAAACGGATTAAAATATTATGTAGATCATTTTGGAATGTGTCCATGTCTTCAGTTGTTCATTGAATAAAAATACGATTTTATTTTAATTTTACTTATCAGTAATTCGTCAAAGAAACTAATAATAATATGGCGTTTTGTCTGAGCCTTTTGATAAGTAATCTCCGAAATATTAACTAGTAAAAACTAAATTTTACATAGAACCGTTTAAGTTAATGGCACAACAGATAATCCGCCAGATAATAATTATTATAAATGGGCGACTATACGACATAATAATATATTATTGGGATTTTAATTTAATGCAAAAAAGGCTTGAAAAGGTTCTCGTTTATTTTAACGTTTATTGGGGTACATTCTAAAAGTTACAATGACTGTTCTAAAATTTGCATATTAAGTAGAGCAAGGGATAATGTCATTTAATAATTCACATGTGCCGTGCAATAAAATAATAACTTAAATAGAAGAGAAAATAATACATCTTCAGGTAAATCAGGCTTATGAAATATAGATGTAAAAAAAACGTAAAAATACTCATTACTACACTAAATGCATTAATATTTAAATAGTTCAAATATCACATTTTTGACAATGTTTTAATGAACACAAACATCAAACTTTTGGAACATTAAAACTTTTGGAATATTATGCAATTTTTACATTTCAAAGAATCTGTACAAAAATATTATTATTATAACATATATTAAAATGTGAATTTGTTTGAATTAATTAAATTTAATTTGATAGAAAAAGTTACTTTTTACTTTAATTAGAAAATAATTGTGTTAGTTACACTTAGTTAATTTGTATCTTGATACTTGTATTTAAATAAGTTTTAATTGTTTGTTAATAATTCTTTAAAAACCATCAGATATCTTATAATTTAGTGGTAGTTTTGCGGTTGCGTTTACTTTGTTTGGATAAACTTTTGGAAATATACGTTCCAATGAAATCGCAGAAAACGCAAACTTAACGTCTTATTCTCCACCCTTTCTTTTCTTTTCTTTCATTATTCAACCGAGAAACCATTTATTTCGGTGTTTTACGGCCTGCTATTCTCAATACAATATTATATCCGTCTTTTATACTAAAAGAAAATATTGTTATATTGATTTTTAGCTATTATATTAAATTTTATAAAAATAAAAGCTCATATTCCACCAGTTGAATCGACTATACTCCGATAATTGTGTACGCATTTGTTATTACTCTACGCATAATAAGGTACACCCGTAAGCGGCTATGAAAAATTTAATATATCAATAAAAATTGGTTATTTTGTTTTTAATCTGACATTACTATACGATTAAAAAGTTTTAAACGAACAGTTCGTCTTAGGTATTTATAAGTGCACAGAGTTTATTTAACTAATTGGCGGCGTGTTTATGCTATATAATCAATAACTTGGCTTATTCAACTTTTTCCATTCAACTCGGCGTGGCGACTATTATTATAATTATTGTCATTTATTATTATTCTCTTTTGGTTCATTGTTAAAATGTTCCACCCGGATAGCGCGGAAGAACTTCCAATCCATTAAAAAACTTACCCAGGGAAATGTCTGAATACTAATTCCCGTGCTCCATTGGCCGTCCCACGATCATATATTTTATTGTGATGTGATGTGGGTGCCTCGGATGTCACAGATGGAACAGAGGCTCCTTGATGATGAGATATTATTATGTGAGAGTCATTAATGTACGTCCGATGTGTGCTGCTTCAGTTAAAACTGTATATCGTAGTGCCGAGCAAAATTTTATAAAAATCTTTTTTTTTTTCACGTTTGTAATTAGTTTTATACAAACTTGTGCGGGCGGTACAGTTTTTAACATATTCGTACCAAAAATAGGTAAAATCATATAATAAATTCAAATTACAATAATTACACGTTATGAGAACAACAAAAAAATATTTAATTAATTTCAATACAACAATTGATACATACTTATTTATTGTAAACGACACAGTAAAACCATAACGTCCACGTTCGTGGCTTTAAATTTTCACTGCACAAGTGTTTTATTGTGTTAAATAAATCCGATAATTTATATGTAATATGTAAGCACAACAAGTCTTCACTTCTACGATGACTTTAATCTAGTAAGCCCAAGTTATATTTCCCTTCATGTCATCATTAATAAGCAATATTAACTTAAGAGAATTCAGATTACGCCATAGATCATCGAAACAAAAGGATTAAAGACTTACACTTTATTAACTTAAGTATTACATTGATTTATTACTGTAAATATTTTAAGAACAAACAAGATTTAACCGGGTTATTGTGTTAACTGTTAAAATCATAAATAATATATATTTTTTAATTAATAATTTGCTTCTTTGATTTTATAAATTGGCTTAATATTTTAATATTTAATAATATTTTTTAATGATTTATGTGTTCTGGTTTCATTTGACTCTCATCAGATTCGTACGTTTCCAATTTTTACTAATGATCAAAATAAATTTCGTTGCTGCATTTAATAATAGAATATTCAATTTTATCTGAATTATTTATTTTCTCGTTTGCTTAGCATCTAAGGTTTTTTTGGTATGCTTAGGTTAGGTTTTTATAGGTTATCTATACATTGTAACTAAATTCCTGCACTATTTTCGCCGTCCGGTATAATTCGCCTTAGCTTACGGAACTATATTTGTTAGTGAGGTGTTAATTAAGTATTCTAAGGGAAACGTTGGTAAGTTGTAAGAAATAAAAACTTTCAAAAAGTTTTCAGTGAAAAAAGTTTACACTTTTGTTTTGTTTTTGATACGAAACTCTATTGTTTATTTGCATGTT